ACGGGCATTGTTAGCTGATATAGGTGCAGGTTGGAAAAGAGCCAGTGGTGGCCAAACAAAAACATGGCCTCATCAATCCATGAAATCCTTGACAGTTAAACTGAGTCAGGTAGGGAGATGCAGACTCCCGGGTTGGGGTCCTCGGGACTCTAGAAATCAATGGCTGGAGACAATAGGTGACATGGCTCAAAATCGTTGTCAATGGCGCAGATGTATTCAATCTCTGTAATCTTTCATATTCCTTTCTACCATTACCCATTCTGTTTCAATCCTATATTTGTCAAACTCTATTAATTCTCTTAACTCATCTTCTTGTCTACCTCTGTGTGCTATTTGGAACGTGGCAACTCGAACTGCTGCACTTCGGTGCCAAGTTCTATGTTGAATCCAGACAGACAGACAGAGAATCCGGTCACTTTCATGCCACATCTTCTCATTTCTGTATCAAATTAAGCAACCTCTGCAACTTCAAATATCGTGCGCACATTCCATGTCCTCATGCTTACTTTTGCTTTGATCGAGAGAAGACAAATCGGCTGGTTGGCTTCTTGGAGGCGTTCAATAGCCGGCTTAAATTTGTCTCTCCTATTTCAGTGACGTATAAGTTTCTCTTTCGAAGTTTGTATAACAATTGGATTGATTTACCGGTTTATGGTCGCCAGCACCATTTCGAATCTCTTCTGTTTTACCTGGATTAGTACCGGCTATTGAACTAGCGAACTAGGGTGAGGTTATGAAGCAAGATGGCATATGTGATTCGAGCCTTAGTGTAGTTGTTGATATATTTCGTCAGTAATCAGTTAGTTGAGGCTGATGCAAGTTACCAAATAAGTGAGATAGTCAATACATTCAACTACCTCACTCGCTATCCTCATAGTAGTAGTCGGTGCAGACTAGCCCTGAAAGTGTTGTTTTACATCCGGGGAAGGAATGTCGCATGTCAAGTGTGCTGAGATTTTCGTTCGATGTATGGAGAGGACTTCGAATTTTTTTAGTCTCTACGCTTAGAGAGAAACTATCGTCCCCGTATTCTGCATTAATGTCTTTTCTATGGTAACAAGTCAATCCTGTGACATCAGGATCGATCTGGATCATACTTAAAAGTGTATCGTTGATGAAACTAAGTGAGAATGATAACAGTGGACATCGTTGAAGTATGTGACTGGCTGACTTGACTTTCTTGACACTGTTCATATTCAAATATTTCCACAGTGTCCGTCAATCTACGGAGTAGAATCTCGTTGTCATGTTGGGAAATACGGTGATTGTTGAGGAAATATTGGCAGCAGAATTCGTCTTCATTTTCACTTTGTTATTGCTAGGCTTCTGGTGTTGAAATGTCTGTGGTGTGCATTGCACCGAGAGACAGCTTTGTAAACCAAACAAACTGGTTGGCTGCATAAATCTACGGATAGATGGTGTTTCCTTTCTGTGTCGCCGGATGATTTTTGTTTGAGAATCATAATATGGAGTGAATTTCGATAGCAGACACCAAGATTAAAATCACAAATGAAATGGAGGACAGCTATCAATTTGTTGACAGATCCAACCAACCAATAATAATCTGGCGTAACGTCGTCGGTAATTGAAGATTAGACAATGATACAGTATCAGCGTGCGAAGTTCCGCGTTGACAAGTTAGTCAGTCGGTCATCCTTAAGTGACAGTATTAGCAGCATTCTATTGTAAAAGAGATACATGTTTCTGTGTGGATTAAAACAATGATATGGCTGATTTGAAACCTATCTGTCATTGTAATCATAACTGGAATTATTGGGTAACAGGAATTCCGGGTGGAAAATTGATTTCTGCACAATTTTGGTTAGTGATGTGCTGTTCACTGTAGTAGAGGCGAAAAGCAAATCAAAAGAGATAATTAAGAAAAGGTATCCGCTGTGCGAAACACTTGCGTACATTAACAATATGTTCGGTCAGTGTTAGATGCCTGTTTGAAGTCGTTACCATAATTGATTGCTGTCCCAGTATATGCTCTTGAAAGTTAACACGCCTTACAGATACACAAATTTAGTGCACAGGTCGTTTTCTCACCCTCGGTTATTTTTCTTTAGGAGTGCACTTCTCTCTTATTCTATTGAGGTGAGGTGGTTAAATCACACATTTGTGACGTTGTCTGGTTTGTCTATAGTTGCAAGTAGTGTTATTTAAGTAGACAACTTGTCTTTTGAGTACTATTAATTGCAGTGAACTAATTAATCCATTCGATGGCGTCGGTGGCACAGCGGTTAAGACGCTCGCCGACCATGCACATGGTCCGGGGTTCGAGCCCCGGCCGGCGCACACCTTTGCCCCACTAAGCCAGTAGTGAGACTGGTAAGGAGGAAAGGTTGGGCATGAGGCTAGCAACCCCATCCTGTAAAAAATCACTGCTACGGAATCTTCAAGCCTATAGCTTGGAGCCCTATGTTCCACTGGGAACGTGAAGGAAAAAAAAATTAATCAATTCAGTGTGTTGAGTCTTGTGGAGTGATTTCTATCCAATCACGTGATTGGTACCTTGATTATCGTTGTTATTGTTTCTATTTTGATCATACTGAGCTATCTGTCTGGTACTAGTATAATTTATATAACCGGTGTCTCAATGAAGATATTAATAAACTATATTGAAGATTAGTGAATGACAGTGTGTCTCTGAGGCTTCATCTTGAGTGATTGATGAATAGCAGGGAATGCTGTTCATACGTGAGCTGACTGTACGTCTCCGTAAGGACAGCCAACAGCAGTAGGTTACAGGAGCGAAATAAATAGAACAACCGTTGACAGTAGATAATAACCACAGGTTCTGAATAGCTAATGGGGTGAGTGAACCGATGACTAAAGTCATGTATTAATATTACTATAGGTGGATGTCTTACATCTATCAGCAATTTTGACCCGCTGCATGTTTCAAGAGGTAGTTGGTGGGTGGGATGTAAGATACAGCGAATAGGCGTCTATGAGTATCATAGCCAGTGCATTTTGCTTGCAGATTCCATGAGGGGAAAGGCGAATGGACTACATTTTCTGGACATGAAGAAAGCAGGTTGTCTGGGTATTCGGGATCCACTTTATTGCTACATAATCCTTGTCCAGTCAACACCATACATTCACGATGAGACCCCAACCATAATGTAGAGTAGTTGTAGACTGGCGGTAACACTTTATTTGAACCGTTATTCAGACTGTTTGTCTGGCGTACAGATTGACAGGATAGGTGTCTTGCTAGTCACCCGATGGATAGACTTTATTTCCGGTTCACTCTTATTTGTCAGACCTCCACCATTTCGTAAGAGACTTACTGTATGGTGGCAACTGCTATTAGTCTAGTTGTTGTGTTGGAACATTCTCTGCAGTTAGTATGAATGGTATGATTGTGACCGACTACTAGGTTGGGTTTGTGGAAAAGTTCGATGAAGAGCATATAGTGAAGTGAAATGCACCTAAGTTTATGATGGTATTTGTTGGAATAGGTATTCACCTTGAATACCACATGTAGTCGTTGATCATATTCCTGTGAATTTCCCAGTAAAGTCTCAATAGTAGTAGTAGTTAGTAGTCGGCAAACCAATTGACTTCACAGTGAGGGATATCAACTGCGTGGAATTCACGCACAGTATTTATTTAGAAGGGATTTGATTTCAGAGCCTGTTTTCACGTCTAATTGTTTACTGACACATTTTTTGTTTAAATGGATTTCTTTTTCGTTATTTCACTGTTTCTTCTCATGTATTTATGTCAGCGGACAGACGGATACATGCGCATACATCGAGTTTCTTACATTATGCATACTTGATGATTGATTTTGATTTGATTTTATCATGGAAACAGCTGGTAAAAGGCAAATAGTAAGTGAAATAATCTCTGAGAAAAATGGCACCATAATTAGCTCCCAGGATAGACGACTGGAATGCTGGAAAGAGCACTAGGAGGAGCAGTTTAATTGGCCTACAGCTTTTCAACCTTCCGAACATCCAACACCTCCCTGAATGGGATATAGACACAGATGCTCCGTCCCTAGGTGAGGTCACTAAAGCTGTGACTAGTCTGAAACAAGGCAAAGCAGCAGGACCTGATGGAATGACTCCAGAGGTATTTAAATACAGTGGAGACAGTTTACTGTCTGCATTAACTAAAGTACTAGACAGCGTTTGGGAATCAGAGGAAGTCCCATCGGGTTGGTGTAAGTCACTGATTATCGCCGTACACAAGAAGGGAGACAAGTCTTCCTGTGATAATCACAGAGGGATTAGTTTGACTAATATAGTATCTAAAGTCCTAGGCTCAATAATATTGCGTAGACTAAGTGTGGTGCTCGGGAGGTACAAACACGTGAGAGCCAGGCAGGCTTTAGACCAGGAAGAGGGTGTATTGATCATATCTTCATCCTTCGACAGATTCTAGAAAATAGGCATTCGTACCGGCGTCCAACAATCATTATATTTCTTGACCTGAAGGCGGGATTCGATTCTGTCGACTGAGAGGTACTCTGGCGATGCTTGGCTGTAAAGGGAATGCTGATCAAGGCACTCTACTCGAACTCATTCCATCAGCCAGGTGAGGGCTTACGGCAAGTTGTCATCTGAAGTGGTGACGACTAGTGGTGTCCGTCAGGGATGCCCATTATCCCCGTTTCTATTCAATTTCATCATAGATGTACTAATGGACTTAACCCTAAGTGACTTCGGCGACTCAGGGATTGACTTGCTACCAGGGAATAATCTTGTTGACTTAGAATATGCAGACAATATAGTCCTTCTAGACGAGGACGCTGACAAAATGCAGAGTCTTCTAAACACCTTGAGCTGCAATCCACCAGCACATCGGTGCAAAGTTCTATGTTGAAAACAGACAGACAGAAAGACAGACAGATTTATTTTGGTATATTGTGTTTGTTTTGTTGCTTTTCTAGTTGTCTAAGATAATATTATTGTGTATGGTGCTGTATTTATAGTCATACTTGTCTACTCTTTTTGATTGTTTTGTTTTTATTCCCCGTGTAATAGGATCCGGTGCATGGTGTAAGTTAACCTTTTTGTTGGATATTGTCTTGTTCTCTTTAAATTAGTCGAGGATATGCTTATTTGGAGATTGATGTTTCTACATTGAAGTTGTATAGAGCAGTGTTGTGCAGTACTCATATGTTGAAGCAGGAAATGAATATATATATATGTATATTTTTTCTTTCTAAAAAGGAATAATATTAACTTTTGACGGGAGAAGAGAGTGTTGAGACGGTGTAAATGTTAACACAAACTGTTAGTCACAATTGGTGGTTGTGATTCAACAGTGAATATCACGTGTGTGTGTGTGTGTATGCATGTGTTTTTGTAATAGGTAGTTAGATTAGGTTGATTGATATAATGGATGATTGTTGTTGTTGTGTGTGTGTGTGTTGGGGTGGGGGGGAGCGGGGAAATATTTGATAAGAAGTTGACATGGTAATCAACATTGGTATGTGAATTAGTAACACACTGATATTGATGATGATGATGACATCTATGAGAAATAATAGATCGATAGATAGGCAGACACACATATCAACGGTATACTTTTGGTGTTATCGGATGAAATGTGTACTCAGTATGTAATAATTATAGATAAATGGAGTAAAAGGTGTATATTTCTGTACTTTTTCTTTATTTCTTCTTTAACTTACACATGGGACTTGATGATTATGCTGGTTCTAATGATGATGGCTACAACGAATTGTCAAATATCTAGTGGGTGAGTGATGTTTTGTTTTTGTAAAGTTGTTGTTGGGATTTTACTGTTATGTACTGGTTTTCACCGTCGCCAAATTGTTATGTACTCGTCGCTAAATTATTGTTATGGACTGGTCGAGAATTTACTAATATTCCTGACGCAAGAAGGCGGAAATCAGAAGACCACTAGGTTAGCGATGATACTTCTATTGTCCAAACACAAGGAGACGAAAATAAATGGTCTCACACCAAAGTGATAAGTAAGTAAAGTAGTTACACAAATTGTGTGAGCGAAATATATATGAATGTTCCAGACAAATCATTAGACAGTCTTAACATGAATGGCTAATTATAATGAAGTATCGATCCATATATACATAGCGAAATATAACAGACATGTCAACAACCACCATATATGGATATATGTCACCAAGCAACGGACTGTCAACAAACACTCATATTATATATAATATAATATAAGGAGAATACACATTATTAAAGGAGACAGGTTCATACAAGTGAAATAGTCACAGACTAAGCGAGCAAATAGAAAGAGAGACCAACATACACACACACACATAAATATATATATATGTGGATACATATTATTTACTATCTTTGCTTTTTCTTTGAGAAGGTATGGCACAACATTTATTTTTATTTTTTCATTTTGATTATTGCTGGATTCCACAGAGTATTTTTGGTAGAAGTATGAAAATTTCATTGAGCATGTGATATCGGCAGCCCATATCTTGCAGGCCGAGCATTGATATCAAGTGTGCTTTGGCAGGGAATCGAACCGCGAGCCATGTGCATGGTCGGCGAGAGTCCTAACCTCTTTGCCTAAAATTAAAATTATGCTGAAATTTCTCAATTGCCTGCTTAGATGCATAATACATAGTAGCATGCGAAGTTGATTGTTTACAGTCAATAGGTGGAAGCATTCCTCTGGTGGATTGTCTTTGAAGAGTGAGCTCTGTCCAATGTTACATTCGGCGTGTTTGTTCTTTGCAATGTAGCTATTTCTCAGTCATTTAGTTTATGATAATGCAGCAAAAGTGGTTCTTTACATGCCTTAAAATGTATTGCTGCTCATCTTACTCTGTTGACTTTGTGTGATCAACAGTCTCACACTTATCTGACTGTTCAGATTACATTTCTTGAATAATTAGTTTGGCTCAGTGAGTGTAGGATTCTTGTAGCTTATAACGTATGTGTATGAAAGGAGGTCTTTGTTGGGTTTGTTTTGTGTATTGAATAACTGTATTCGTACTTTCATTTCAGCCTGTATATTGATAAACTAAAAGCGATATGATGCATAATTTAAGCATGAACATTAAGGTTTTTGTATTTTGAAAACCAGATGATTTATGCGATGTTAGTTGTTTTCACAGTGCATAATTTGACTTGTCCAGTATAGGAGTGCTTATTTATTGAGAATGGTTTTCACCGAAGGTTGTTGTCGTGTAGGTTGGTAGGTAGGTGGGTAGTCGTGAGCGATAAACCATCTGTGGACTTTGCTTTGTTTCTCATATCCAAGTTGGACTTCAAACTGTTATTACGACAGTCTGAATTGCAGTCTAATTGTATTACTCTGAAAGTTATCAAATGTCTACTAATTGGAACAGTGTCTGAAGACATGATTTGCAAAGATCCTGGTGACAGATAACATGTCATTTCCTGTTGTGTTTGCACACGTGTTTAAATGCTCTTGAGTAGTTCCATTTCACTTTGAGATATATGTGTGACTCTTTGAGGTAGCTGAAAATGTCTGTGGCTCTACTTTTTCTTCTGTAAGAGTCTAGTTGTAGGGCAAATGTAGTCATTGAATACTGCGCAAATGTATGAACCACATAACAATCAAAGCTTTTCCCTGTAGTCAAAAGTGATGGGCTGAATTGTGTGTGTGTGTGTGTGTGTGTGTACATCATTAGCATTCATCACTTATGGACATTATAGTATCATCTGACAATGCTTCTGGATGAATTAAAGTTAAACAGCGGAATTGACTGAGATTCTCTTTCTTCTTCTTGTTATTATTATTATTATTACTATTAATATTATCAGTTGAATGTTTGCTAATAGGATGGCTTCATTATGTGGATTCCTCTTTCTTTGTGGTCTTTCAAAAGAAATTTTGTGTGTGCTACTGTGGATGACAAATTTTGTCTGACCTGTATTTCTTTCTAATTTGTAGTCGGCATTACACTATGCAGCGAAATTTGGGAATGTGAAATGTGTTCAGCTGTTGGTCTCTCAATATCATGCTGACGTAAATATTCGAAATAAAGTGAGTTGTATTTGTTTTTGCGCCTCATGCATTAATCGGCTTTTTGTTTCACACAAACCAGTCTGGTCTCTTCTCCTTCTGCGATGATCCTACTTGGTGACAGATATCGCTGTTTGGGATTAAAGTTAGTGGTCAGAGTTAACCAGCAGAGCGTACACATGTGTAGCCTTAAGGGAAGTTGTGTGCTCGGTGTAAGATTACAACTTGTTTTATGCGTTGTTAATTGACTAGCTGTTCAACTGACGTGTGACTCTTTGTAACACTGGATTATGTTTATGAACCTGTGGTCAATACCTGTTGATCTATGTGGGTGTCAACTTTGTTGTGTTTGATACAGTTTTCGGTAATTATCGAGTTGAATGAGATTGTTATGTTGCTGCTGCTGAGTGGTTAATAGTAGTTTTCCCCGTCGCCAAATTGTTATGTACTCGTCGCTAAATTATTGTTATGGACTGGTCGGGAAACTAATAGTCCTGACACAAGAAGGCGGAAATCAGAAGACCACTAGGTTTGCGATGATACTTCTATTTTCCAAACACAAGGAGAAGCAATAGTGGTATCACACCAAAGTAAGTAAGTCAAAAGATTGTGAGAACGAAATATATATGAATGTTCAGACAAGGGTGTGAACAAATCATTAGACAGTCTTAACATGAATGGCTAATTATAATGAAGTATCGATCCATATATACATAGCGAAATATAGCAGACATGTCAACAACCACCATATATGGATATATGTCACCAAGCAACGGACTGTCAACAAACACTCATATTATATATAATATAATATAAGGAGAATATACATTGTTAAAGGAGACAAGTTCATACAAGTGAAATGGTCACAGACTAAGCGAGCAAACAGAAAGAGAGACCAACACACACACATATATATATATGGATACATATCACCTCCCCTTTTGAGAAGATGATGATTAGTAGGATGTTTACCTGGGGGTTTATCTGGAACCTTTGAGCTTGTTGTTGACGTCTGTCGTTTCGTCTGCGTGTTGGGTTTGCGGCTTCGGCTTCGTCCGGAATTGTCTGACATTTTATGCTTCTTGACTGCATTGCATAGCGAATTTAGTGGGACATCAGCCAGATGCAAACGATCGAACCAATCAAGTCCCAAAAGATTTAAATCACTCTTGGTGACGTAGCAAATTCCTGTGAATTTGGTATTGCGGAAGGAAACAGAACATTTGAGTTCACCAATTAGTTTGAGGCGCCCACCACAGGCGCTGACAAGAGACTGGGAAGTATTGGTGATAGGTGGTCTGCCAATATTATTCCAAAGTTTCTCTGATATAACAGTAATATCAGAGGCGGTATCTAGCTGCAGACGTGTATCATGACCATTCATCTGAAGGTCAATATATTTCCGCATACCTGGTGTTGTGACTTGACAGGTTGCGCGTAGACTCAATGATCTCCTTGGAGATTTAGGACCAACAGTTTGTCGAGCTTTCGCTGGATTATGATATCTGGGTTTGCGTGGCTGACAAAAACCATTTTTATGACCGATGATTTTGCACTTGCTGCAACGATGATTTTTGTATGGGCAAGACTTTACAAAGTGCCACGCGCCACAATGCCAGCATGGTGATGGTGGGGTCTTCTTTGCAGTATTTTGTGAAGTTGGACGAGTATGTGTAGATTTCCGCGGAACATTAGAAGAAGGTGGGTCAGGAGTGGATGATGAGAGATTTTTGCTCTTTCGTAATGCATGAATATCAGAGCTTCTCGAAGGTGTTGATTCGACCAGGTGTGTGTCTTTCTGCAAATTAATCAGCCGTTGATATTCATCAGCTATGTCATGTAATGTTAACTTGGGATTTTGTTCTAGCTGATTGAGCAGTCGAGTTCGGATATCTGTGAAACGAGGAGATTGAAGACTGCATATGAGAATCAAGGCTTTGAATTGATCATCTGTTAAGGACCTGAGTCGAAATCTCTCACATTCTCGGTTGACTGTGCCAACGTGAGTAAGAAAATCATCATTTTCATTCATTGTCAGCTTGAGGCAACGATAACGTATGCTGAATAATGAGGAGTGGTCTCCAAAATGTTCACGCAGCAGCTTTATTGTATCATCGAAACACTTGTCACGTGGTTTCTGGGGTAAAATTAGGTTGCAGTACCGTTCATATTCTGCCGGACCCAATTTACGTAACAACACTCGCACCTTCCAGGCATCGTCTTGTGAGGCGAGATCAACAGTGAATAAATCCTCATAACGTTGATACCATGTGTCAAAAGTGACATTAGCCTCTGGGTCATAATTGAACTGTGAAATACTGTTCACAATGCCGTCGACAGATGGTAGCATGGTATGATTGGGATTGCTTGAAGGTGAAGCTGGACCAGTCTGTTGGTTGACGAACATTTCCATTAATTTCATTTGTCGTTCAAACAATAATTCCAATTTAGAAGGATCCATAGTAAATTGTTATGTTGCTGCTGCTGAGTGGTTAATAGTAGTTTTCCCCGTCGCCAAATTGTTATGTACTCGTCGCTAAATTATTGTTATGGACTGGTCGAGAAACTAATAGTCCTGACGCAAGAAGGCGGAAATCAGAAGACCACTAGGTTTGCGATGATACTTCTATTTCCAAACACAAGGAGAATGCAAAAGTGGTATCACACCAAAGTAAGTAAGTGGTGTAAGTGTAAGTCACACAAATTGTGAGAACGAAATATATATATGACAAGGGTGTGAACAATCATTAGACAGTCTTAACATGAATGGCTAATTATAATGAAGTATCGATCCATATATACATAGCGAAATATAGCAGACATGTCAACAACCACCATATATGGATATATGTCACCAAGCAACGGACTGTCAACAAACACTCATATTATATATAATATAATATAAGGAGAATATACATTGTTAAAGGAGACAGGTTCATCAAAGTGAAATGGTCACAGACTAAGAGAGCAAACAGAAAGAGAGATCACCATATATATATATATACATATCAGAGATGACACTGGAATGCTGTGTGTTTGGATGCTTGACGCTGATTTGTTGAAACTTGTCTGCATCCGTAATAACCAGCTTATATACGCCGACTCATGCTAACTGATTTAGCGCATATGTATAACTGACTGATCACTAGCGAATATATATATCGTTATGATTTTATTGTGGAACTGATTGAGAGTAAATTGTTGACGTAAATTACATCGTAAGATATGAATGTTCAGTTTCTAGGCGGTGTACTTCAGTCTTCTGTGGTATCTTTAGCTATGTGTATATACATATATGATGAATTACTTCGGAGCAGATTGTCCTGTTATCTATTCCACAAGTCACAGTTATACTGCACAATGAGTTGGAAACACAAGTGCAGTATATCTTACAATATTAAGAAACTACACTTGAATGACGGAATCTTTTATCTTGTTGAAAGAGATCTGGTAAGCCGGCCGGCAACTGCTACCTTGTCGTAGTGGTCGGGCTTGAATAACGCAGTGACCCAGCAAGCTAAACTGGCTGGGACTCATGTCCCTGCAGGTCCTACCATGTCAGGAAGGTTGTTTGGATAGCGGTTAGAGTAGAATCAGTTACCATGGGGTACATGGGCTCCAGAATCCAGTGGGATCAAATGGCGTATGAACCCATATGGGTCACTGGGAACCATGGGAATGCAGCTCCTGACGCTGCTCCGTTGTCTTGCCGATTAGACTCCAAGTCAAATGGTCGGGTGGTGGTCCCTTAAGATAACCACCTGTTTCGGTCTGGCAGCCGGGGCAGTATCTCAGCCCTCACACAACAAATGAAATTTAGTGTGGCGCATCTTTCTTGATGCCATATTGTACCAAGTTTTTTTCTGCGTTTAAATAAATAAAAATAAGTTCTGGCAAAGTTTAGGGAGAATGGGAGTTGGTTTTGACAGTCCCTTCACTTCATATCAACCAGTACAACGTAGATGAAAGTCGACAGAGGGCAAAATGACAAAGTGCATACGAGATAATAGAATATGTCTGAGATAATGTGCAAGGTGATTATTTAGAGGTGGGCAGATGCGTGAATTTTGAATGAGTAGATGAGTGTGATGTGTGTTGTTTGTAAGAATGTAGAATGTAGGTAATAATCATGTGACATGTATTGAGAATGAATGAAAAGTGATGAACTAAACAAGAAATATGTGATGAGAGTACAAAGAGGAGAGACGAAGAGGACTCGTATGTCTACTATGTTTCAGTGTATCTCAAACATGATGTTTGAACATCACGTTTCTGTGTATGGTGTATAATGTATTCGTTGTTCTCTTGGTCTTGTATATATATAGACACCACTTAGGCTGTATGGATCATTTATGGTTTACTCTTTAAGTGATATTACTGCTTATGCCTATATCGTTCATCTTTTATTTTGTCTTACAGCCATTCGTTTTTGATAAATAGTGGTATCACTATAATCACGGCGAATGATGTTCACTTTGTTATGTTAATATTGGATAACTGCAGGATGAAGTGTTACTAAGCGTAGTCTGGGTCCCGTGTTAATATTTCTGGTTAAATGTTATTTTACTTGTGTAGAGAGCAGTGATTTATCACAGAGATACTTACATATAGGTCCTAATTTACAACAAGCTGGGTAGGTACTTGTAGATATATGTAGTGAATGTGTATCATGCATGATTTGTGTGTGTGTGACTGTTGTGCATAATTGTTGTTCGTGTGTCGCACTTAGAGACACTACAAGGAAACGGTGTTTGTGGGGAACTGGACGTTTGTAGAAATTACAGCAATCAGTCATTATGAATATCTATAGGGGATGGATGTGGAAAAGGATTTGAGATTCCATCCCGCCTACAACATTTAGGATGGATTAGTTTAGTTGTCTTACAAACCAGTCGATGTCGTATCTCAGTTACCGCATTATTATTTACTCTTCACTTATGTCGATATCACTTACATGGTTTGTTAATATCATAGGTTTTCTATGTGGAAGTATTTATTAAGACAGAGTGATTATGAAATCA